TTGAGAGCTGTGAATGCCCAAAGGGCCTCACCACCTCCCCTTCCTCTCCTCTCCCCTCCTCTCCCTTCCCCTCTCCTCACCTCCCCTCTCATCTGTCTTTTCCTCTCCTTCCCTTCCCCCTCCTTTCCCCTTCCTCTCCCTTCCCCTCCCCTCCCTTCCCCCTCCTCTCCTCTCCCTTCCCCTCTCCTGTCCCTTCCCTTCCCCTCCCTTCCTCTCTCCTCATCTGTCCTCTCCTCTCCTCCCCTCCCTTCTCCTTTCACCTCCCCTACGCTCCCATCCCCTCACCTCTCCATCCCTATCCTCCTCTGTCCTCTCCTCGTCTGTCTTCCCCTCTGTTTCCCTCTTCTCCCTCCCCTTTCTCTCTCTCTCTCTTATTTCCTCTATCTCCTTCTCTCTTTTTCTCCCCCTCTCTCCCTCCTTCCCTTTTGCCCTCTCTCCCTTCCATCCTTCCACTTCGTTCTTCAACATAAGCTAATTCTATGGACCAATTTCGACCAGAAAATAAGAACAACATCCAAGTCAATGGTGACAAACCTCAAGTAAAAAACCAGCAAGTAGAATTTATTGAGGGGCAACAATACATCAGCTTGAGGGTGAATCCTGTTGCTGACCCCCTGGATAGTTGGTAGAGGGTACTGTGTGAAGACAGCCAATGAAGAGCCTTCTCTCAGGTCAAAATTCTTAAGCTGATAGTCAGCTTGGGGAGTAGCAGGACCTTCCCCTCTCTTTTGCCTCTTTCTGCACTTTTGACAGTTTCCCTGTCCAAAATATCCTCCCAAAAGAATGAGCCAGTGGGTACGAAGAGGATGTGAAGGGCAAACCAATCAGTTTTGCTCCCTTTAAGCAGCTGTAATGTCAAAATATAACTCAGGAAAACCTTGTGGTTTGGGGGCTTATTATTATTATCTCTACTATCTTTATCTCCTCTGACTAAATACATGCAAAAATTGCCTGAGAACTTGGTATGTTAAAAGCCATAAGATAAACACATATGTTCTAAGTCTTAGGTTTCAACGTTTCCGTCTTATTTGATAGCAATACAAATGTATTTTCCTTGTACAATAGATACAATTCTATATAAATTATTTTTTGTAACTGGATCATATTTGAAAGATTTACCTAGCATTTAAGACATTTTAGTTAGCAGAAAACAATTTAGTTAGCTGCTGCCACCACCACCACCACCAGCAGAAGAGATCCAGTAGCAGAGACCCAGCAGCAGGAGATGGCGCAGTGAACTTCCCAGCCCACGGAGATAGAAAGTTGAGTGCCTTTGGGCAGAGACTGAGGGCCAGGGAGAGGTGTGCCTACAAGCACAACTGGGAAGAGGCTGTCCGGATGGAAGAACTGTATCTTGAGTGTTCCTGAGCCTGAATTGTAACTGTTACTTCCCTAATAAACCTCATAATTGTGAATACTGTCTGTGAGTTCTGTGTGTCCATTGCAATGAATTATTGAACCCCGTAGAGAGTGCTGTGGGAGGGATGGTTGGTGTCAGAATTGGTAAAGATGGTGGAGAGAGGAGGCATGTCTGACCCCTGCCTCATAGAAATCAGCTTTGGGCTGTTGATCTTGATTTTCCTTCCCCCTCATGAAGTTGGAGGAGGCCAGACACCACCCCCATGCCGTTTTTACAGCTTCTATAAAGATCAGAACTTCGGAAGCCCTATGGGGCAATTCTACTCTGTCATATAGGGTCGCTGTGAGTTGGAATCCACTCAATGGCAATGGGTTTATAGACTGTACAGTACAAAGAGTGAACTCCAGTGTAAACTATGGACTTTAGTTAATAACAATGTATCAAGACCGATTCATCACAGGGCCAAGACTGGACAGACATTGGAAACTATTGCCTTGAAAGAATCTTCAAACCTTAAACCTCAAACCAAAACTTTTCCCTGGAAGTCGGCTTAGAATCAAATAACAGTTTAGTCAGCTTAATTAGTAAAGTATGTCTGCTGAAGCATTAAAGCTCTTTCAAATATTTATCTATGTAGGATCAAATTGACAATATCATCTCAAAAGTTTAGATGAGAAGCTTAGGGAGCAGAGAATTTATGTTAGTGGTGGTGGAAAAAGTTGGAAAAGGATAGCAAGAACAGTTACACAACTTGAAAAATGTAGAGTTTGTTGAAATGGTATATATCTTGCTGTATATATTATCACCAATAGATAGATAGATACAAAATTAAAAAAAGACAGTCCCTTTTCAAAGCAAACTAAAAATTCTGAGCCGAGAAGAAGGAAAGCAGTATTTGTTGAGTGCCTGTAATTTGTCAATAAAATGCAAAAGACATATCATTTACTTTTCAGAAAAAAGCTGTAAGAAAATATCTCCATTACATAGATTTGGAAACAACCTCAGAAAGTTTAAGTAACTTGCTCAAGGAAGGTCTCACAGCTAATAGGTGGTTGAGCCCAGGATTCCAAAATGACCAACTTCAAAACCCATATTTATTTCCACACCAGTTGCCATGGAGTTGATTCTGATTCATGACAACCCCATGTGTGCCAGAGTAGAACTGTGTGCCACAGGGCTTTCAATGACTGATTTTTTGGAAGTAGATCACCTGGCCTTTCTTTCAAGATGAACCTCCAACTTTTTGGTTAGCAGCCGAGTGCGTTAACCGTTTGCACCACCCAGGGACAGCTTATTTCCAGAAGGAGGTCAGAGTTATGGGAACAAGAAAGAAATAAGAGGCCCTTTGGGGGCTGTAAAGTTTTGTTTTTGTCCTCTATATAAAGACTAATTTGAAAGACTTTAAAGGTTTGTTTTATTTTGCTTTTATAAATTCTAGGAAAGTGTTTATTATGAAGTGATTTCTGTGTTTTTTGTCTTTCACTACTTTGAGCAAAAGCAGGGGAACGTGTTGCTGTTGTTAGCTGTCATCACGTGGATTCTGATTCGTGGAAACCCCGTATGTGCAGAAATAGAACTGCTCCATAGGGTTTGCAAGGCTGTAGCCTTTCAGAAGTAAATTGCTAGGCCCGTCTTCCGAGGTGCCCCTGGGTGGGTTTGAACCACCAACCTTTTGGCCTGTAGTGGAGTGCTTAACTGTTTGCACCACCTAGGGACTCCAAACCCATTGCCGTCAAGTCAATTCCGACTCATAGTGACTCTATAGGACCGAGGAGAACTGCCCCATAGGGTTTCCAAGGAGCGGCTGGTGGATCTGAACTGCCAACCTTTTGGTTAGTAGCCGAACACTTCACTACTGTGCCACCAGGGCTCCAGGGACTCCAGAGGAATAACATACTCACCTGCTATTGCTTTTACTCTTTGTACTGCATTACCTGTCATACTTTAAAGAAAAAGAAAGAGAGGAAGGAAGGGAGGGGGAGAGGAAGGAAGGAAGGAAGAGAAGGAAGATTGGTCCAATAATTGTAACAACTGTAATACACCAATCCAGGATGTAATAATAGGAGAAACTGTGTGTAGAAGGGAGAGGGGGTATATAGGAACCAGGGCTTCGAACAGGTTCCTTCTGGTTTGAACCCCTGCTGAAAATTTGCATTTCTAACAAGTTCCCAGGCAATGCTAATGCTGATGGTAGGGACCAAGTCTGAGAACCACTAGTAGAGTAGTGGTTTCCAAAAATTATTATACATAAGAATCACCTGGAGATCTTGTTAAAATGTAGATTCTGCTTCAGTATATCTGGGGTAGAAATACAAATTCTAAGCAGGGGTTTGAATTGGAATGAACTGATTCGAAGCCCTGAAAGGAACTCTGTATTTTCAGTAAACTTAAAACTTGTCTAAAACTACAGTATATTAACAATAATAATAATAATAATGGAGTTGGTATTTTGGCTCATAGGCTTTTTCTATATCAGGAAACACTAACCTCAGGTTTTTCACTATGAAGAAGAAGGATGTTAGAATCGTGTGTATGTGTGTGTTTGTAGGTGTATATATTTGTGTGTATTTGTGTGGGTATCTGCATGTTCGTTTGTGTTGTGGGTGTGCGTGTCTGTGTGTGTGTGTTTGTGGGTGCATTGTGTACGTGGGGGTAGCTGCGGTTATTCATATTAAGGTTAATTTTCCAAATGTACTATGTTAACGGATCAGCTGTGTTTGACCGTAAACCATGAGCATTTATTTCCAGCATCTCATACCATTGGCACAGAAAGAGCAGAGTGCTTTATCCTCACCGGAGCCTGTTCCTTTTGTCACAGCCCTTAAACAAGTGCTTGATCTGAGAAGCAGGCTGACTTGGAAATGACCACCATCTGCTGTGACCAACATTGTACCACAGATTTGTGCAGCCAGACACCAATGACTGGCTCTGCCTGTCCAATTAGTTCAACAAACTGAAAAGGCTTCACTGCCAAAGTGGTGATAAATGGTCCGGTGGTAATTGTAGAATGGTATCTTCACATCACACCAACTGGACATGTTTAATCCTTCACCAAGTGTCAGCCACCCAATTAAAAAGATGCAGGGAATTAAACCATGAAGACAAGACATGGATGAGAGGACCTGGATCATAATGCGAAGTCTGGGAGCTTCAGCAGGTCTGGGTCTCTGCAGCCTCGGTCACTGCACAACCTACAATCCCTCCGCATGCGGTGTTCCCGCGGGCAGAGCGTTGAGACAGCGCCCACTGTCACCAGTACCACTCCGCATGCGGTGTTCCCGCGGGCAGAGCGTTGAGACAGCGCCCACTGTCACCAGTACCACTCCGCATGCGGTGTTCCCGCGGGCAGAGCGTTGAGACAGCGCCCACTGTCACCAGTACCACACAGGGTGGCAGTGCACTGCACCCACCTCACCGGCTCTAGGTTTAGTGACACCTCGGAAGAAAGGCCCAGCGATCTGCTTCCGAAAAATCACCCACTGAAAACCCTATGGAGCACATATCTGCTCTGACACACGTGCTGTCACCATAAGTCAAAGTCAATTCTATGGCAATTGTGGTCTTAAAATTTATTTGTTTCCCTTTTTAAAGACTTGCTCAAAAGAAGGTAGCATGTTTCAGCTTCTTCACTTCCTGGAGCCAAAACGGATAAATCTAATGACCACAGATGCAGGTTCTGCCACATATTTTGAGTTGTTATGAAATATATTAAAACAAGCTCACAGCAAATATATTCCAGTGTTTATTAGAACAGGTGGGTAACAGAAAGTGTGAAGGAAGACAAAGCTGTCACTTCTTAAAGGCTGACCCGAGATTCCACACACGTTTGTCCAACCTCCAAGAAGCAGAGCAGTGGTCAAGCCTACTCTCCCCACAACCCATGAAACATTTATGCATAGGGTGATGAAAATAAATCCCGTAATTCCAGAATTAGTCGGACGAATTTCAAATACACATATTAAGAGTACTTACATTTTCATTGAGATTTACGAAGTGATTACTGACACAATCACATTTAATAGCAGGGAACCAAGCCTCACACATGATCTTGTCCAAGCTTAAGCTAAATCTGCACAAAGAACTTCAGCCCAGGGGGAAGAGCAGGCAAAGTCTGCAGAAAGGAAATGCATGCTACCTTGCAGATAAGAGTTACAATGGGAGAAAGGAATTCTATAGTTTCTAAAACAGATGGGCACTATCTCCAAACACAGACTGAAACATAGTTCATTTTTTTAAAAAACACTACTTCACTATTTACTAGACTTGGGAATCTGGAAAGCAATAGGGTATTTGAATATTAAATATGTGGAAAATTTGGATTCTTGTCCACCCTCCTCCCCTCTTTTTGGTAGACAAACTCCACAAGTCATAGAGATTTAAGCACTGAGTTTGCAGCCAGAGCAGGGGCAGATGTTTTCAGGGGTCATGTCTCAGATTCCCTTGCTAAGGCTCTTCAAGGTGATGGAAATAGGTAGAGGACACTAAGCCATTTTGCAGCTGCTAAAAAGCAATACTTCACTGTTTCCCTGATTTAAACAATGTAGAAGCTAACAAGGAAAATAATAGGAAAAGATTTTCCTGTATTTGCTTTTAAAAATGGCTTTATTTTGAATTCAGTAAAAAAAAAAAAAATTAAATCAAATCTCATCTCTGTTCTCTTAGTTGCCACAAAAATAGTTATGGGAAAGAGGATTGAACAAAGGTACGTGACAATCGTATCCATATTCTTCAAAGGCTGTTCAGTGATAAAAGCTCAGGCCCCAACACACGTATGCTCACACAAGGGTTCATGAGAAGAGCTTAAAAGAGAATAGCAACTTGTACATGTGTGTTTAAGAGAAAAGAAATCCATTTACAACTCAGTTCATCCTACACAGTGTCCATAGACACGCACATATGACTGTTAAAATTTTGCTCCATTTGTTTCCTAATCATCAGAAAGAAGATATTAAGATGAGCTTTTCTGAAGATTTCTGTTCTATCATTGAATGATACTTAGGGTTAGATGGGGCCTCCAGCCTGCTTTCCTTCTCTCTGCAAAGTGGAACATGGTGTAACCCACCCACACAACATGCAATCCAAAAACGAATAAGAGAAAACAGCAACAATTGTCACCTAATATTCCAAAATGACCACCATGAGCTGCCAGTTTAAGGAGGCATCTCCCTTCTAAATGTTCTGTTTTGGGAGGTGGGAGGGGTGAATTAGTCCTGAATACAGTTTTCTAAGAGTCTCCCAGAATTACTGAGCTATGGGAAATTCTATTTGGACAAAGAATAATCCCCATTGTCCTTCAGCAAATTGCCAAGTGATGCCCTCTCCCTGCGCCCATAGCCCCGGCTGGTTCTGCTGCTTGAGGGCAACAGCAGCCTCTGCTGATGCCAAGCCCGATGATACTGTGGGAGTGGTCACCACAGGGGCAGAACAAACTGCACACTCTCCTGGAGGGACCAAGAGTGCCTCTCGCCCAGCTCCACAACCCGGCCCATCTGATAACTGGACAGCTTGTCAACAGCCCCTCGGCCACTGGGCATGTGTTTATCCAGACCAGTTGTGGCCCTCGAGCTCCCCAAACAAGGATCCACATGCTTCAAAGTAACTGCAGAGTTAGAGGGGAGGCTAAAGCATTTAAGGCCAATGATTTCCATCCTGTGAGGCACACCACCTTGTCAGGGAGAGATTCTGAAGAACTGTGTTATTATCAACCCTTTCTCCACATGTGGGTTCCACAGAGGGGCTCCAAGATCCTCCTGGGGTTGGGACCAGGGTTGCATGTTCCCACCCACAGAAAAATTGAACACAGAGGCCAGAACAAGGGGCTGGGGTATCTCAGGAATCACAACACTGTGAAGATGAGTGGGCATCTTATCATCTCAGCAAACTCAGGACCCCACAGCATCTGCTCAGTCCTTAAAGGAGTATCTTCCCATCACCCCAAATGATAAGAGTAGGAATGGAAGAAGGGGAAGATGTTGAATGTGGGTTTGTTCTCACTCACACCCAGGTACTGTTCAGCAGCCATCTGCTCAGGCTCTTAAACTAGCTGAGTGGTTGGATGGTTGGTTTCCACACAGCAGAGTGCAAACCTCAGTTTGAGGGTCTTGTGCCCACCAAGTAGTGCCAAACTGACAATCTCTGTTTTGCTCAAGTGTTAAATCCTTGTTTTCCAACTGGAAACTGAAGAATATTAGATGACTTTAGAAAGCATAAGTCCTGAACATCCTGTTAAGCCCCGCAAAGCCTCAATCTTTCTTTTTCATCATTTCAGTTTTTCATCATTTCAGTTTTTCATTTTCTTAAACAAAACAAAAAACTGAGCTATAACATCTACGTTTCAAAATTGGCAAAAGAATATTTCTTTAACCCTAAAGGCGGTGCACCCACGGCATTACTCAACTGTCCCAGGGTCCACCTCCAGGACAGGTGCATTTCTAAAGCAAAATCAGAATAATTAGATCATTTTTGTTCTGAGAGGCACAAACTTTGGAGTCCTTAGAAAGAGACCCATTCCCTCTGTCCATTCTCTGACAGGACATGAGCAGAAGCCGCCAGGTGACCTGAGACCCCAACTGCTGCTCAGGAAACTTCTAGCACTCTGACCCTCGGCAACTCTAAGGGCTGCTTTGTAGTGTCCAGCAGGCAGGACTGTGCCTCCAGAGAGCTACGGACCGCGCATTGTAGGAGGGAGTCCGCGCAAGTGTGCACTTACCAAGGAGGACAGGAGTTGACATTGCTTGGGACAGCTTTTAAGTTACAAGATTTTAACCTTTTTCTCCCGCCCCTCCCTTTTTTAAATAGAAGGATAAGAACCCCTTGAAGAATGCTGTAATGGCATTCCACATGCCCAGTCCCTAACTCTGTGGTGTGACACCCTGAAATCAGGGTTCAGCATTCTCAGGATGCATACCGATGGCGAACTAGGCTGAAATGCTTTATAACAACAGCTTTCAAAACACAGCACATCACAGCGCTGGGGAGTGGGGACGGAAGGCTCGGCACTGTTTTGGTGCCCGCCCTGGCTCAGAGACAAGCTGCTTTTGGTTTGTTCCCTCTTCCTGTTCCCCTCACCAGTGGCCTAACTCGCTTTAATGTCCGTGCATTCACCTTTGTGAAACAATCTCCCGCCCCTCTCACTAGCCCTTTAGATCACATTTCCAAAAATACCTTTCACTCACTTCAAACATTTCCCTCTTTTTTTCTTCAAACTTTACTTACACAGAAACCAAGACTATTAGAAACTTAAGAAATAGGAGGTGTGATTTCTAAACTATCTGCCTCCTGCCTGGCTCCTGAGCCATTCCCTGTGCTTGTGACCATTCTGGGGTTTCAACAGTACAGAACTCAAGAATGGCAAAAAGCAGAATGGTAAAAGTAAAGACAAATTTTCCAGTCCTCCAGATTCTCCCTTTGACAAAAAGAAAAAACATCGTTAATACAATTAAACAGTTAATTGACCTAGTCTCTCTTCTGCTAGGAGGAGCCTGTCATCTGAGCCCTGACTAGCAGACTGCCTTTTCTTCTTCAGACTACGAAGGTGAACAGAGGCGCAGCACAAAGGAGCCCCATTAGCCCCGGTCTTCTGATCCCTGGACCCTGAATCAATGCAAAAAGTGAAATCAGTCACATTTCAGTTTGAAAAGAGAAGTGAGTGAGCACCGTCAACATTCACAGTTCGCGAAACGACACCCCGCTGCGTAGCAACAGCACACACAGAAGATGCCTGCAAACGCCCAAGCGCGAAGCCTTTTGAGGAGAAAGTTCACAACTGTTTGCTAAGATTCCAGTCCAGTCTTTGGGAAGGACGAGGTCCTGCTTTGGTCGGGTGTTTCAGGATCTGAGGATGGTGGCAGTCATCTGACACTGAAAGGATCTGGGGTCATCTCCCGTCAACAGTCTGTCCCGGGCGTTGGACTACGGAAAATAAAAGATGACAGATTGCGAGTCCCTGGCTCCTTGTCTCGCCTACATCTAGACCCCCAGAGCCAGGCCCACCTGTGCCAGGTGAGCGCTCACCACACGATGTTCTCGAGTGCCTCCAGGCTGACTGACGGGGATTTACTGTTTAACATCCAGTGTAGGTGATACTGTTGGTCCTGGCCTCTGCTTGGCTTATGCTGCCCAGTCACCTGCCCCCTCCACGTCCCCTGAGGCCCTCCCACCTCCTGTCAGAGCTCTCTTACCTGTACTCATTCTTCTTAGCCCTGCTCTCAGCTCGCTCGGGAACCCAGGAGTAACTGTCAGCTGCGCTTGGGGTGTTTTTCTCCCTCTTCTCTGCCCTCTTTGCTTTCCGCTTGCGGTAGACCAGTAGCCCCAGGGCGAGAGCCAGCAGTAGTAAGATGGCCACCACAGTGCCCAGGATGTAGAATAGAAGCAGTTTCTGCCCATTGGTGCTGCCTTCATTTTGTTTGGCCATGGAATCCCCGTCTGCAGACTCAGCATGGCCAGCAGCAGCCGTGGGGCGGCTGGTGCTGGGCTCCACCTTGTTGCTGGGGGGCCCACTGGAGGCCAGGAGCTTGGGTGGGGCATGGGTGAAGAGGATGTTGGAGGGCAGGGAGGGTCTCCCCATGGTGGGTGCCTCCTCAGAAGTGTCCTCAGGGCCTCTGGGGGGACTGGATGTTATGGCAGAAGGGGCGATGCTCCCTTGGCCCTCTCCCTGGGGTGCAGGTCTGTCTGTGGGGGGCGCAGGTCCCTCTGTGGGAGGTCCAGGGGACGTGTGGCCGAGGATGCAGGAGACCCCATTGGGGGCCAGCTCCCAGCCTGGCAAGCAGCCACAGCGGAAGGAGCCCGGCACATTGAAGCACAGGTCCCTGCAGGGGCCGGCCCCCTGGCCTGTGCACTCGTCCACATCCTGGCACTGGGTGCCATCCTCACCAGCCACCTTGTAGCCCTCCTCACAGGAGCAGTGGAAGGAGCCATCGGTGTTGGTACAGGCCTGGGCACAGGGGTTTCGGCCTGGGGCACACTCATCCAAGTCCCGGCAGGTCCCCTCATCAGGTTCATAGCCCACCCAGCAGGTGCAGCGGAAGCTCCCAGGGGTGTTGATGCACTCCTGGGCGCAGGGGGAGGCCTGACATTCATCCACGTCCCTGCAGTCCAGCTCACTCGGGTCTAGCTGGTAGCCTGGGGGGCAGTGGCACCTATAACTTTTCCCGAGGGAATCGGGCTTGCATGTGGCCACCCCTCTGCAGGGATTGGAGCTGCAGGGGTTTCGGGAGGTGCAGGTCACCAGGTCGTCCATCAGCCGGAACCCTGGCTGGCAACCGCAGCGGAAGGAACCCTCACCCCCATCAAAGCAGTACTGCTGGCAGCCCCCATTGTTGAAGCTGCAGCTTAGCTTGGAGCTGACGCAGAGGGGGCCAGAGGTGCCCCAGTCAAACACATCGGCGCCTTTCTTCTTGCACAAGAAATAATGGCTCCCCTCCTTGCCCTCGTCCCCACAGGCCACGTTGGCCATCGAGGCAAAGGGCACGGCCTCCAGGGAGGAGCTGGTAGCCTGGAAGGGGGTGGTGTAGGTAACCTGGCCTGGACCCCCCAGGGCAAGGGGCCGGCACATGCCTTCGAAGCTGAACTTGCACACGAAGCCCTCGATGTTGCTTCCCGGGGAGTTAGGGCTCCCGCAGGGGCCCTCAGCCCACTTGGAGAGGCGGCCGGTGGGGGGCGACAGGGACAGGTCAAGCAGCAGGGACACGCAGCGTTTGGAGATGCACGTGTTCTTGGGCTCCTTTTGCCAGTTGGTGTACGGTGTGTCGCCCCCACCACCAATCCAGCTGAAGCCCTTCAGCGGCAGGTTGCTGTCCAGGCACTTGCCCTTGTCCCGCTGGAGCCCAATCCAGAACTTGCCTGTGCGTGTAGTCAGTGGTGCCTCGGGTCGAAGAAGCTGGGCTAGGGCCTGCTGGACACGCTGGGCCTCCTCAGCGCTCCTCACTGTGGCCAGGTTGCCTCCGTTGGTGCTGCAGTTAACCTGGGCCTGGTCCGCACTCAGCTTGCCCCAGTGGGCCGTGTAGCAGGCAGTCCCCGCACACACCACGGCCTCGGCCACGGCACCAGTGCCAGCCCAGCCCAGAAGCAGCAGCGGCAGCAGGAGCAAGGACATGCCAGTGGAGGTGGCCATTCGGTCGCAATCTGGGCTCCCAGCTGTGCTTAGGTGGGAGCTACGGGCTTGGCCACGGCCTCTCTGGGGCAGAGGACACAAAGGCTGCAGGCTCGTCACGTCCCCCTGACCCAAGGCGCATCCTGTGCGTGTTGTACTTCTTACATCTCACCGGATACAGGGCCTTCCTGGAATGAATAGTTTTCTGACTCCTGTTGCCTTCATCACAGTTTTGTTGTTCATAAAAGGAGGCAGGCGGCTTGCTCGGTCCCCAGCAAGGGCTGTGGAAGCAGTGCGTAGCAGGCAGAACTGTACAGCTCCGTTTTGGCTTCATTCTCTTTCCCATCTGCATGTGGCTCTTAAATGGCATGCTACTGAGTGAGCAAGGACTTTCGGGGACTTTCAGTACTAGAGAGAGCTCACTTCGTAACCCATAATAAAATTCCACTTGGTTAGCAAAAACAAAAAAAAGAAAAGACAACCCTGAGACTTGAGGCATGAGCCCATTTATCCTTTTTTAGAAGAAAACTGGATTTTTCCTCTGCCTATCTCATGTTCCCCCATTAGGTTTGGGAGTCTTTTTTCTTTTAGTCCCCCATCGTGAACTCTAAATAGAGAGACAGTCTTTAAATAGGACTGGGCCGTGGGAATGTCTCAGAGTCTAACACAATGCCAAGCTCCTCCAGAGTATGAAGCCAAATTGGGGGAAAGACAGCCCTTCTCAGAGTTTTTACAGTATGGATCATGATGTCATGAGGTGGAGGTGGGGAGACACCAAAAGCATCAGAAAGAAAAGAAAGCAAAAATGTCCCCACCCTCATGGGCCTGGGCTTGCACGCTGCCTCACCCACCTCGCAGAGTTCCTTCATGGCGAGGAGTGGGAGTCAGGGCCTGGCACAGGCTCCTCCTGCACATCAATGCGTCAGAACCTGTGAATCATGGTCTTCTCCTGCAGTCACAGATATGTTTGCTCCTCTGGACCGTCCTTGTTTGGGGCCCCCAGACATAGACCCTGAAACATGGATTCGGGGAAAGTCATTGATGTGGGAGGGGAAGTGAAATAGGGAAGAAGCCCATACAGGTGACTTCACGAGTAGGTGACGTCAGGGCACCCGGAACTCAGCCAGCTGGGACACTGGGAGGCAGTGCAGAACACACACCACACCTCCCTGCCCTGGGTCTGGGTTGTGGGTTTTGCTGCATCAGTCTGGTTGGCCTGGGTGACCAAGCTGTGGCTCTCGTTTCCCTCATCTGCAACTAGAAGGTGGGAAGAGGACCTCTGAGGTTTCTGCTCTAATATCACACTTCACTCTCTCCTCTGGATCTGAGGAGAAACCAGCAAGGGAGGAGAGTAGGCTGAGGTCACTGCTGAGTCCTCACCCTGGTGCAGAAATGACCGAACCATCTATCTAAGCCTCACAGGGCACTTCCCACCCCAAACCGATCCGCCAAGTGTCAAAATACAGTATACTCTGTCTAATGTTTACGTATTTGTACCCTCATCCACTAACTTCCACTCTGTCCCTCTGTCCTTCCACCACTGCCTGCCTGGTTGGGCTAATTTACCTGGCCTTCTACCTGCAGGAAAACGCTTCATGGCAGAAATGGCAGGAGAGCCCTGATGACTGAAGGACAATGTTTAAAAGTTCAGCGGAAGAAGGAGTTTTTACCAGGATGGTTGGATTTGGCTGAGTTTGACGAAGGGTCTAGAATGTTTTAGATGCTAAGCTTTGAGGAGATTCCGCACCTCCTGTTCTCAGGTTCCCTCCTGGACGATGATGCACTGAGATTTACTTAGAGTGCAGATTGAATCAGACCTCTCCAAGGATTGAGTGTTAAAGAGCACTCCCCAGGATGGGGGCCTGGAAGAACTTTAGTAGGCCCATCTTTGGATGGAAGCCATTTCAAGTGTAGTAAAAAGATCACACACTTCACAGTGTGGTCATGCTCCCTGCACATTGGCTCTGGCCCCTCTGCTTGCATTCTGGAGTTTCAGTGATTGCTCTGAGCTTTCTCTTTGAATCATCTTAGAAGTTTACTTCACACTGTTCAGGGGATGGGCCACTGGGGTCTCACATATGGGACAGGCTAACCTCTCAGCTCTCCTGCAGCACATCGATGGCATCTGAATTTGCTCTTTCCGTCCTCTGGACCAACAATTGAATGAAGGAGGTTGTGGGGAGCACATTGCATTCTCCTGCACACACAGGGACATTGTGCACAGTGAGTCAGCCCCCTCCTCATGCTCATTGCTCCAGTACCCACTGCAAGTTCCATGGGCCCCGTGGAGGAGGAGGCACAGGTATGCGGCGTTATGGACTTCATACCAGATGATGGGGACCTGAGGATAGACCCTGTGGGCAGGGACAGGCTCAGAAGGAAGTGGTCTGGCCACGGGCTGTCACGGCTTTTCTCTTGGTGAGTGAAGGACAATTTTCAAAGGGCACTGTGAAAATGGCATGGCAGAGGAGTCTGACTTCCTCTAACTTCACAAGGGGGAAGGAAAATCAAGATCAACAGCCCAAAGCTGATTTCTGTGAGGTGGAGGTCAGACATGCCTCTCTCGCCAGCTCCTTTACCAATTCTGAAACCGTCTGTCCCTCTCATAGCACTCTCTACTCCTCTGCTGGGTTTGATAATTCATTGCAATGGCCACACAGAACTCACAGACCATACTCACGATTATGGGTCTATTAGGGAAGTAACAGGTTACAATTCAGGTTCAGAAACTCTCAGGATACAGTTCTTCCATCAGGATAGCTTCTTCTCAGCTGTGCCAGCAGGCAGGCCTCAGCCCCCGGCCTCTATCCTGCTGAGGTAAGTGTTACAAAGCTCTTTTAGTTCTGTCGATAAGTGCCCAAAGGCACACCACTTTGCTTTAAGCTCCAGCCCATAGGTGTTCAGCTCTAGCTCTGTGGGTCAGCAAACCTAGCTCCACCAAGTGCCCAGAGACACCCTACTCCGCCAGCAAGCCTCTTGCCCAAATGTGCTCAGCTTTCTCACTCCATGGGCCGGGAAGTCGTCTCCTGCGGTCTCCTGCAGCCTCCTGACAGTCTCCTTGTTCTGCTGCCACCGTTTCTCTGCTGCTGTTTTTCACTGTCTCCAGTTTACAGCTCTCTCTGTCTTCCATGTCACAGCTCCTCTTTCTTGGTGCTGGTGAGATCCTCTCCTCCCGCCTCTGAGATGGATCATTTTAAGCCTAGAGGGATGGCAAAACTGACCAATCCCTTCACTATGGTTCCATATACCTCATCTGCATAGTCCCACTCAATCATTGTGTGTGAATCATAAAGACTCTGGCTAGAAGGGCCATATTAATAATTAATTGCACCGCAGACACTGTGTTCCCTAACTGTGGCCCAGGGGAGCAGGGGCTGTCACAGCCTGAGGTGGTAGTCAGGTGTCTCGAGAGGACAAGCCACGACTTCCATGGGGGCGAGACCAGGAAATAAGGGATGAATCATCTGCAGAAAATTTAAAGTAGTAATAAAAAGGATTAAAAGTAGGTTGTCTTTTCATTTTCTTTTTTTCCCTAAATTTTATTGTTGTTGTTGAGAATATACACAGCAAAACATACACCAATTTAACAGTTTCTACATAACGTAAACTCACTGCCCGTTAAGGTTCCTATTCAATCTTTCAAGTTGCTGTTGTCAGTTTGATCCCATATAGATAGTTTCTTAAAAGAGCATAATGCTCAAGGCAGATCTTTTTTACTAGTTAAGCTAAACTATGTTTTGCTTTTTTTAAAATTATCTTTTTATTTTTCCCAAATTCCAGAAATTCTAAACAAGGTCAATGGTGAAACAATGTCAGTTCTCCTCCCTGGAAAAGAAACAAAACACTTTTGTTGTCTAAGTTCTGAACAATTGTAGTTGTCACCATTGTTTTAATAACATATACTTTAGATTGTTGTTGTTGGGTGCTGTCAAGTCTATTTAGAGTCATAGCAACCCCATGTGACAGAGTAGAACTGCCCCATAGGGTTTTCTAGGCTGTAATCTTTATGGGAGCTTTATATTAGCACCTTTTAATTATTCATCCTTTAATAAACATTATATTCTATATGGAGGTTAATTTGGAAAATTGCCATTTATAAGGTAGGCCCCTAACCTATACACAGTCCTTTAAGAGAAAGTTCACAATGGTTGGGAATCACCCAACTCAATTTGATCTCCAGCTCCTGGGGTACTAGATATTCCTATATTTATAACGCAGAGTCAAAATAAACAATGATAGCATAGGGACTGTAGGAAGAAATTGAACTTGAGTCTCTTCAGTTCTGTCATTCTGTCAAAAATTCTGCGACTACTTGGAATTTTTATGTTTACAATGGTGAGGCATAGTGGGAACTAGGAGAAGTGATATTTTTATTTGGTACACGCAAATTTTAGTTTGTATTTAATCAAATCCGAAAACATTTTTATAATCAAAATTTCTTCTTTATAAATTGTTTACTTTAAAACTAAAGAATAAATAAAAAAGAATCACTGATGTTTTCCCTGCATGTTTATTTCTGAGGTTAACTTTGCTGTGTAGAGAGGTGGATGCTTCATTGATCCCTCTGGGTAGGAGAACACCAGATGTACCACTGACAAAGTCACACAGGGACACATTCTCATGGTGGGGACAGGGAGGGGGGCAGGGAAGGTCTTTTTCCAGCTCTCTGCCATGAAGGGATAGAATACATCTACGCTGGATTTGAATCTCGCCCTGCCACTTACCAGTTGTGTGACTGCTGGCATGCTACTGAACTGCTCTGTGACTCTGTTTCCTTGACTGTACATTGGACAGCGAAATGTCACCTCTCATGACGTTTTGTGAGAATTAAATGAGCAAATTCCTATGAAGTACTCAGAATAGAGCCTGCAGTAGGTGTAAACTTCTACCCCAATAGGAGACTGCAGAGGCTGGAGATCACCCGAACCCAGGTCCAGACAGCTTGGATGTTCACCTCGACTCTGCAATTTGCTGGCTTTGTGACTGTGAGCTTCACCCCTTGAAACCTTGGTCTCTTCATCTGTAAAATAGAGAGAATAAGAGTAGTAATGCCACCGTGCAACCGTAAGGATTAAATTAAATGAGGTAACAGTTGTAAAGTGCTTCCTGT